CTCTCTGCAGCTTGCAGCCTTTCCCAGACCACAAGCCAGACCAGAGGATGCCTGGAAACCTCGTGCTCTTCTTGGCCAGGCTGTTTCCCCACCCTGTTTAATTTATGGGGCCCCTCTGCCTGAGGCAGTATCCTTGAGTTTCCTTCTTTATTCTCAGGTATGATTTAGATGGACAAGGCTAAGCTTTACCAAGTGTAGCTCCTGTGGTGATAAAAGGTACCCCCCCATACACACATCAGCTGCATTCACTACCAAACCTATGAGGTGTCCCCCCCACAAACACATGAATTCTGTAAAGTGCCCTTGTAAGAAAATATTCACAGCAAGCTGAATTGATCCTGAGTGGTGACAGTCTATTTGCTGACCATATCTCAAAGGTAGCATGACTAGCAAGGGATTAATAACAGGAAAGTCAACATCCCACTGTAATTTCCACTGAGTCTGCCTTTTTCTGTGTCTTGTCTTTGCAATGTAGTGGGCCAAAGGTATATAAGCTCTGATTCTGCTTTTGCTCAGGGCTGCTCAGCTTTGCTGGAGACAATAACCCTAACAAGCAAAATGGAGGCTGCACCCTTTCCTTGCCCCCTGTCTTTTGGACCCAGTTCCCCTCTTTGCCTAATCCCTTCAGCCCCAACCTGACCCCCCCCGCCCCAGACACAGCCCCGGCAGGCCCCCCTTAAACCAAAGCCTAGAAGCCCCCCAGCTCATCGCCCAGCCTGAGGGCGGCCCTAGGAGGGGCCTGGCCACAGAGCAGCCGGCCCAGCCTCGCCATCCTCCCTCGGTGGGTGACCTCAGCCTTCCGCCTCCTTCCCCAGAACTTCCCCAGCTCGGCTGCCCTCCTGAAAGGCCCCCTTTGCCTAAGGACGGGACACAGCCCAGGGACACTGGCAAGGACCCCCAGCTGCCCAAACTGCCCAGCCATTTGGATCCCTGGGATTTCCCGCCGTGTCGCCCTCGCGGTCTATAAAGCCTTTGCCTTCCGTTGCTCGGGGCCCTCTTCCTCCTAAGGCAGGCACCCAACACACACGGTCCTTCTCCGTGGTGTTGCGCTCCTTACTTCGGCAAAATTCCACAACACTAAATACTGTATGCATGCTAATAAGATTATGTTGTATCTTCAAAATTATTTGGTTGCTTTAGGTGAGCCAGGTTTTGGCCACAACACTCTCAAGGGACTAGCCCTCAATGAGCAGTTTAGTCAGCGTTAATAAAATATAGTTCTTAAGAAGACATGTAAGACCAAGGTGACAAATGCATATAAGAAAGCAGAGAGCTTGATGGGTCTCTTGAATCCAGCGCCTGTTTGGAAGGGACCCCTCCTCTTCTTCCCCTTCCCTGGGACTCTTAACATCTTTCCCAGAGGAGGGAGACAGCCCGCTGTCCCCCCAGTTCCCAGTCTGTTCTCCCTTCCCCTCCCGCTGGGGAGGAGCTTGACCTCGGCCACCCCAATGGCGAAGGGAAACCCCGGTCCCTCCTTGCTGGCTTGGCCTCCCTCCGGTTCCGGGAGGGGGCGGCTGCCCAGAGTCACCTTCATTTCCGGCTTTTGCCGAAACCGGGGAGGCTTTCTGCTTCTGCTCCGAAGCAAAGGGCTTGACGGGCACGGAGGAGGAGGCGCAGGGAAAGCAAGCAAGCGGGGCGGGCCTCGGCGGCCAGCGGGACCCCGTTCCGGGGATCTGGCGGCTGCTTCTTTCTGGCTCCTTAGCCCATTTCTGCGTACAGTATTCTGGCGTGGCCTCCGGCCGAGCGCCGTCGCTTTCCAAGCAGGCGGAAGTTTCTTCCTCCATCTCGCCGCCTTGGGGAATGGTCTGCCATCAGCCCTCGCGGGGTCCCCCTCCAGCTCCGCGGCGCCCCAGCGAAGCGGCTGGCTGTCGGAGGGCCTTCTAGTCGGCGGGCCGCGGCCCCCCGAGCCGGCGCCC